TGGAAAGTGTGTGCTGATCGTACCTGAGAGGGAGACATGGCCATATCCATCTTCTCTTGACTCTTCTCTTTAGCGAGCCGCGCCGCTTCTTTATACTCCCCGAACTTCTCTGCAAACTAGACACAGAGGACGGCCATCAGTATGGATAGTAATTATACTATACTGTAGCTTAATCTGTTCAGTAAAGCCATATGTTCTCACTCTCTCACTCACACACACACACACACACACACACACACACACACACACACACACACACACACACACACACACACACACACACACACACACACACACACACACACACACACACACACACACACACACACACACACACACACACACACACACAGAGAGAGAGACAGAGATCAGTGTGTAATAGGTCTGCCGTGTAGCCAGAGGAGGGAGAAGCAGAGGCGTTGCCAATAACAACCGACAGTTGAACTTAGAAAAGAAGGCCCTTACCCACAATGCCTCAGTCGAAACATGAGCTATATAGGTCACAGTCAGTAACCTCTCTATATGGACCTCCACACACACACACACACACACACACACACACACACACACACACACACACACACACACACACACACACACATAGATCAAAGTAGACTGTGTCATTGTGTTTTCCTGTAGAGTTCTTGTGTTTAATCAGAAGTGGTCGGTGTCTGAATTTGATCTCCAGGGTTATTTTAGTCGAGAGCAAGGATACATTCAGCGAGCCCAAAGCAGTGAGGTGAGCTCAGCTGAGGGGATTTGAACAAATATAAACACCCTGGCGCACAAACACACAGATACATATCCCCTCTGTCGCTTTAGGGTGTGGTGATTCCCCGACAGTACTCCTACAGAGTATTATTTTATATTCTGTACTGCAGAGAGTGGAGAGGAAATCAAATTGACGACTCTGCTGGAGCCAGTCTTGTGTATGCGATTAGTGGAGTTGCAATGAGTAACTTAATATCATTTCACTTCGGTGCAATATAATAGTTCTGCTACAGCGATCTAAATGCAGTTCTCAGTGTAAGTGGTGCAGGAGTGTTGGCAACGCAGTTATCTGAGAGGAGAATCTGATTATTTTTTCTTCAGGCCTTCTAATTGTCTGCTGAGTGTCTGTTAAAACTGCTCTTCAGACACATTTCTCTCAAGGTGTAACATCAACTGTAAATCAATAAAACACTTCTTGCTCTAAAGTCTCTCAGAAATTGGGAAAATTAACAACTATTTTTGGAAATGTTTTTTTTTTACTTTCATGATTTATTATCTTTGATTATTGACAATAATATTTGATTGATAATTTACAG